CCAGTTTTGAATCTTCATACAAATCTATCTACTTTCGAAATAGGCTTCGCAAAATGTTGAATAGTGTAGGCCTACATCAATATTCCCTTCGTCCAGGTTCGTTTCTTTTTACCATCAAAAAATATTTCAACCTTCTAAAATCACCCCTCTTGTAGGTGCACTTCCTTCTCCTTTCCTTACCTCAATGTTGTTGTTGATGTTGTTGTTGTTGTTTTTGTTTTGTTTTTTCCTGTAGCAGTGTTTTCGTATAATTACTACATAGTCACTTTCTTACAGGAGGACAGTATTCCATATTCTTTATATCATCTTTTATACTTAATGAATATTAAATCAAGCGTAGACAGCCTGTCTAGCCCTCTTGCCCTCGTATGATCCCTTACATTTTAGAAAAGGCAATACTTATTTATGACCTAGTTATTTTGCATTCCACGAATCCTATCTCTGCTCTTGGATTGAAACTATCCCAGTTAATTTTGCTTCCAAAGTCTCCTGTTACAAAAAAAAAAAAAAAAAAAAAAAAAATCTTTTGCATTGGTTTTCGAATGCTGTAGCAGTTCTTCCAGGCTCATTGATGTTTTTCGAATTAGTTTATGATAATTTTCTTATGACCACGCCCATGTGTGAGCTGGCATTACATTTCGGTTAAGTTTACCCCGTTTGTTTCTACCTCAGTTACCTGTATTTCTACTCTAAGGGTCTTGTTTAATATCTGACTCCTTTTTAATCATTCCTTACCATGTTAATATTGCTCTCCCCCTTTCAGTTGTCCTGTATTTTCTCCAAATATAGTCTCTGACTCATAGTATTACATCGTCTATGAAGGTGTCCAGTTTGGATTTGCATAATACGTCTGGTGCATTCATTTCAGTTATTCAATCTATTTCCAGTGGCTTTGAGGATAAGTCATTTGTATGTGCGTGCGTCTGTGTGTGTGTTGTGTGTGTATGTCCGTGTGTGTGTGTGTTGTGTGTGTGTGTGGTGTGTGTGTGTGTGTGTGTGTGTGTGTGTGTGTGTGTGTGTGTGTGTGTGTGTGTGTGTGTGTGTGTGTGTGTGTGTGTGTGTGTGTGTGTGTATGTGTGCGCGCGCGCGTGTGCGTGCGTGCGCGTATGCGCGTGTGCGTATGAGTGAGCTATTCATTGCTATCTTTACATGTCACGAACGCAACTAATGCGAACGCCCGAGAAGTACAGTAATTCGAAGCTGTCACCTCTCTTATATTATTTCAGTTCTCCTTACATTAAATCAGGCTTATTACTCTTCTTTTATCTTTAGTCTCGTCAAGATTCTGTCGGTTCTAAGAAGAATTGTTGATATATGATTGCAAATTTTTATGTATTTTTATTGAATTTGATTGTTCCTTTAGGGTTAGTTCAGTTGTGTTTACGCGTTAACCAAGGACTTCCATGTCTTCCAAATTAAACAGGTGTATAGTGTAAATTCTTGGCAAGTTATATGATTTATCGGGTGAACATGAATATTCTATAATGAATTCATGTCAACTGTGTGATATACATCAACCGTGCGTTCAAGATAACCTATCAATATAATACTTCACCTGATGCTCAGGCATACAGTGGACAACTTAGGTGAAAAGGGCAAAAATAACATCACATTATGAAATATTAGGTACAGGTCCAGTTCCATACAGCCTTCGTTTAGACAAAAAATAATATATGCAAACGTAGAGCAACTGATTCTAAGAAACTTATCTTCTTTGTACTTCAACAGCAACACAAAAAAACTCTGCCCTATGTATATTCTGGCAAAGAACTTGTTGCGAATTATTGACAAACAAGGAACCCTACCAAACTCTGATTTTGCGGAATGTACTTGGGGAAGGTATTTTGGCGTTTGCTAGAGTAGGTGGTACAAAGGCTAAGGAAATTTTGCTTCATACAGTTTTATTCTGAGTTTTTTTTTTTTTTTTTTTTTTTTTTTTGTATAAGGTAATTATCCAGTAAGTGATGTTTTGGCCTCCTTAATGACCCAACAACAGGCAGCTGTCATATACTGCATATATTCTGATAAATTTTTACTAGGACTGGGTGTATATTTGACAATAGTTTCTTTGTTTTGCTAAAATAACGATGTGTTGTTGACTGCTGCCAGAGAGAGAATCACAGACGGTGGCTGGTTGTTGTAGATTCACAGTCATTGAGAAGTGATTGTGGGCTTATCCTTTCTTGATAGATTATTTACTTTATTTTTTTAAGATTTTATTTTTGATGATCATTACATAATTACACACACACACACACACACACACACACACACACACACACACACACACACACACACACACACACACACACACACATATATATATATATATATATAATATATAGTATATAATATATATATATAATATATATATATATATATATATATATATATATATATATAGATATATATGAATACAATATATATTTATTTATTTATTTATATATTTATTATTTATTCATTTATATTATATATATATATATATATATATATATATATATATATATATATATATATATATATTATATATATATATATATATATATATATATATATATATATATATATATATATATATATATATATATATATATATATATATAATATATGTATATAGTACATATATGTATATATATATATATATATATATATATATATATATATATATATATATATATATATATATATATATATATATATATGATTATATATATATTATATAATATATATATATATTACATATAGATATTTAAGTTTAAGTCAGTCATATTTTTTGTATTCTTGTGGCCTTTCTATCGTATAATCATAATATAACTTTATAATCAGATTTTTCTTATTTTTGGAGATCATATTAGAGCACAGCCTACACAATGAAGATCTTAGATTTTGGGAAGGAGATAGACTTCCCCCTTCCTCTCCTATTTGGAATCCCCTAAAAACTTGGGATTACCATAAATACAGGATATTAGTGTACACATTATTAAAAAAAGGATTCAAATTTATAAGACACATTTTTGTGAGAATTTTATCAAACTTATCGTTGGAAGTGCCTGAGTGTGCTAGTATGCATTGGTATGCATATACTTGATTTTTTATGCGCTAATATTTACACAAGTTACTTCTCAGATCGCCCCCCCCCCCCTCAAAATTCTGAACAGTAGACAGATGAGCCAGATAATGATTTTTAAAAAAATTTTTTTTTTTTCTTCTCCTTCTTCTTCTTCTTCTTCTTCTTCTTCTTCTTCTTCTTCTTCTTCTTCTTCTTCTTCTTCTTCTTCTTCTTCTTCTTCTTCTTCTTCTTCTTCTACTTCTTCTTTTTGAAATCTGTAATTGTATCTCCTACATATATATTTATATTTATCAAAGCAAACAAATGCTCATTAAACACACTTGAAAATCTTGAAATTGTCAGAAGGAAGCTAAAGGGGATATGTATGGTCTTTGAATTCCTGATATCCATAGATAAATTAGTTGGATAATCTATTTGACTCTCAAATTGTTGATGTTTTTTGACCCAAAGTTTTATATTTCAGATTTTCATCTACGTAGCAGAAGTTACAACTATGGATGTAAGCATTTTTTTTTAATACTAGTAGTAGTATGTGAACCACATTAACATGGCCTGAAACTTTTCAGTAATATATTTTAGGTTGGTTGATACTATATTCAGAAAACACACATTCATGCTTACGCTTACACTTACACTTATACTTATACTTATACTTATACTTATATTTATATTTATACTTATACTTATACTTAAATTAACACTTGCACTCACTCACACTCACACTCACACTCACACTCACACTCACACTCACACTCACACTCTCACACATACTCAGACACACATGCACGCACGCATGCACACATATGTATGTATACATATATATATATATATATATATATATATATATATATATATATATATATATATATATATATATATATATATATATATATATATATATATATATAATATGTATAATAAATATATATATATATATAATATATATATATATATTATATATTATATATATATATATATGATATATATATATATATATATATATATATATATATATATATATATATATATATACATATATACATATGTGTGTGTGTGTGTTGTGTGTGTGTGTGTGTGTGTGTGTGTGTGTGTGTGTGTGTGTGTGTGGTGTGTATATATACATATATATACATATATACATATACATATATACATATATACATAATATATATTATATATATATATATATATATATATATATATATTATATATATATATATATATATATAAACACTTATATTTTTAGATACATGTATTAAGTGATAAATGTGAAATTATCATCAACATTGTATGCAGATTTGGATTTGAATAGTTCATCTAGGGAAAATAAGCAATATACCCATAACAAAATCATGTTTTAAGGATGAAATATTTGATGCCAAGTGTATAAATATATATATTTTTTTTCTTCTGGTGTATGAAGACTTTCATTTGCTTGGATCTATTATGATTCCTCATTTTTTTTGCCTGTACTTGATAACTGGCTTAATTTTCCACTAGTTATGGATGTGAGAACTGAAGGAAAGTACTTTATGAAAATTATATGTTCTTACAGGTTGTATGTGTCGGAAAGCCTCTTATCTGCAGCAATCCACACAAGCTGTACCAGCCATGCAAGTTGTGGATTCAGAACCAGTGTCCCAAGCTCCCAGCGTCATGTGTTTATATTCACAGTTACTTTTGCCCGGACAAAGATTCCTGTAAGAGAGAATTTTGCACACTTTTGCACCATGACTTGGAAAACGCGCTGCCAGATTGCAATAAAAAGGTTGGTATATTATGGTTTTAAGGGGACCATCCTAGGGAATGACCACCTGTCCCTATTATTTCATAAAAAAAAAAAATTGATACATCACCACTCCCACAGTTTTTTCCTGAACAATCCACTGAAAATTTTTGTGTTAGATCTGTCCTAGCCTAAGACCTAGTAAATGGCCAATTTTTTAATTCCTTTTTATTTGGGGGGGGGGGGATTGGTTGACTATTTTTGGTCTTTTTTTTTCAGCATTAAAAAAATTATAAAAGGTAAAAATTCAAAAATCGGCTATTTACACAGCATCAGGGATCCGAGGCTTTAGCAAAAGCAACAAACTGCAGGGGGGGAGGAGAGGAGAGAGAGAGAGAGAGAGAGAGAGAGAGAGAGAGAGAGAGAGAGAGAGAGAGAGAGAGAGAGAGAGAGAGAGAGAGGAGAGAGAGAGAGAGAGAGAGAGAGAGATGCTTACTGGTGTATATATTTTTCGAAGGATATCATATGTATTAAAACACGTACAAAAAGTTTAGAAAAATTAATCATCCTCATTTAGTAGGCCTACATCGACTTTTATATCTAAAAGAATAAAATATATTAATTATCCCTCTCAAACCGTTTTCATTGATAATTGTCAATAGTAACAGATTGTAATGGGTAACAAGTGTAGAGTTGTTGATAAGCCATTTGCACCCATTATCTTTACTAAGAAGTGCATAAAAATATTGCAGATGCCTAGGTGTGGTTGGATATTTGTGAATTTACGGTACCTAAGACCTACGGTGACGTCTAAATGTAATTTTTTTTTAACGAGAAGACACGAAACAGATGCAATAGCTTTTTCAACTCTAGACAAAGACTGTGCACACAAATGAGCTCAGAATTCCATATAGTTTTTATTTCAGAGCGGTATTTTGTTTTACTATCAATTACTGTGTACTATCATCTTCAATATGAAATAATGAGTATCTCGCTTATACATCCCAAGTTCAAAAATCCGACTTTTAGGTACCCTTCATATTGAAATGCCCTTTACAGCAGTAACAACCAATTTCAAATCAAATCCAATTTACCAATGCTGTGATGAACCGACTGCTGAGTGAAGTCTAACGGGAATAATTCAGTCCTTACTTATACGCCTATTTTTAAACATTAGTGCTTTGTACTTGGTATCACTTCGTTAACTACAGCATATCACCAGGAAGTCTCGATGGAAGCATATTTTGTGTGTAAAAGGACACAAAATTAAATTTTTTTTTAGATATTTCACAAAATATTTCGCCATAATTCACGGTGATATAATTTTTTCTGATATTGGTATAAAAGTGTTCTTTGACCATTCACGAACTTATATCTATCCACAGTGTCATAATCATAAGCCATATGCACGATTGCAACAAGCCAAAGTCCACATAGGTGTACCTGGGCGCTCATTAGCAGTGTACCTCCCCAGGTCTTTAGTGGGTCTCGCGTGTGCTGCCCAAGAACTAGCCATAGTTGGAAACTCGTTTGGTAGTTTCTTTATCCATGTACCTGTACAATACACTAGCTAACTCAATGTATCCAATGCCTGCTCACCCGCGCCTCTACATCTGGGACACTGATTATGTTGTAGGTCTATTTCTGATGATGATTTATATTGAGGTAGGCATAGTTATAGATAGATCATATCTTTGCATTAGCTATTAGATATCAGCTAGAAAATGTTTGATTGTCTAAATTCTTTCTGGACAACCGACAGAATGATGGTCATGAAGCATCACCACAGAGCTGTAGTCCTAAAGAAGCTAAGAAAAAGGGTTCAACTAAGTCCAGGTCTCCTGAATTGATTACTATTGAGGATGATGATGAAATACGAATGAGCAGTCCTTCACCTACATTTGATGATGAATTATGTCAAGAACTTGAAGAAATAGGAGAGGAACTAGACAGATTCACAGAAGAAACTATTGGCAATTCAGATATCACCAGGAACAAGGAATTTGAATTTTTATATAGCAGAGACGACATGGAATCCAATGGGAATGCAATTCTCAAAAGAAAACCAGCTGAAAGTAGAAATGCACCTTCATTCAAGTTTTTCAGGTAAGAATTGTTCAGTATCCATTCATAATTCTTTATAGCAAGCATGTAGAGTAGGTATAGAGTATATATAGATAAACCCACAAACATTCTATTTAGGGGTATATGCATATTTAGTTTTGTATATACTTCTTTCTTTTATTGTATCTTTATTTGATTGTTTTTTATTTCATATATCTTCTCTTTAAGATGTAAATGTCTCTGACCACATGAAGTAAAAAACTCAGGTTATCTGTTGAATAAGTTACTAAAAAATACAGAAGAATATTTTTTACAGGTAAACATTAAAAAGATAGAGGAAAATTCAGTAGTGTGAAAGAAAACTAGTTATACTATTTGCACACACATTAAAAAAGGAGAGTGGGAAAGGTCATTAATGTTTACAAATGTACTTATGAATATGTATGTATTAATTGACATTACATAGGTACTGTATATATATGCCTAAAAATGTTAGATGTTATGGTTTCTAGAGTGCTAACAGCAATTTATTTATTTTTTAACTTGATCTATCAGTATAATTATATTTATCAGCATTTTGGTGATCATTCTTTCATAGAGGATTTGTAGAATTATATGGAGAAATATGGATATTGGAATT